TGTCCCCACAGACAAGTGCGATTCTTGAATACCTGAGCCTTCCGGGTTTCATTGAAATGAGCGTGGATGAACCTTCGGAAGACGCTAAACTCACAGACACTGCTGGACAAAGTTCAGAACTAAATCCAGAAAAATCCCCAGGGCATAAGCCTGATGTAGTTCCTAGAAACTGGGAGGTTCACGTTCAGGAAAACCGGAAAACACACTCAAACCAAAAGGAGGTTTGGTTTGAGCAAACTCATTCTGAGGGGGCTGCAGAGACCAGCTCTGATGGTAGTAAAAAACAACATAAACGCTCCCTCAAGGTGGAAGGTAGAGATTCTGCACTTAGAGTAAGATTTCCAGATGAGATAAGACCATCATCACCTGTTCCAGAAAAAACTAGCAGGCAGCTCTATGATGAGAAAACACAAATTCGAGTAGGGAACAGAAGCACAGACAGACCTGAATCCAGACTTGGATCCAGGTCAGCTCATACGTTGTTCAGTGCAGCTAAAGGCATGGCAGATATAGTATCAAAACACTCACAGAGATTTGTAGACAGTAGTGAGTCTTTATCAGAGCAATCCCAAAGACAAGCTTCTCAGGGCAGCAGGACTAATAACATTGCATCACGAATATGTCAAGCCCCTGTGCCATTTCTAAAGAAATCCTTAAGCATGGGCCCGTGTAGGACACTCTCAGGTATGGGGCAGCCTGGTCCTTTCCTAAAGAAATCCATCAGTTTAGGCTCACAGAGGTGGGAGCACTTTGAAAGCCCAAGGACATATATTTCTGAAAGATGCTACTGGGATGAGTTCCCAAACCCAGATGTCAGGGTGAAGTCCTATAGTTTGGGTCACAGTCCATCTTCCCTTCCAAGACCAGGCCCCTCCTGGAGGGAATATGTTCCATTCAGACGACCCAGCATGGGGAGCTTAGAGAGGCCTCACCCCACACAAAGATCTTTAGCTAGTCCTTCCTACCTCACTCCTTCGATGTACCCACCCAGACAAACCTCAGTCTCCCCGATGCTGGAACCCTCCGATCCACGACGACAAGCCGCTGTTTTCCCCGAGTCCTCCAGGTGGTCTCCCTCTTATCAAGATAACTTGAGGTCTGCCCAGCATAAATATGTCCCCATGCCCTCCTCCATCCCCGTCCCCCAGTACCAACCCTGGCAAGGATCCAGAGGGGAAAGCATGAGACCCATGGACCCCAGGAGGGGCCCTCCGAGGTCCTACTTGCCCAGGGGCATCAGCTGGCCCTCACCTTACTACGTCTCCTACCCACCAAGGGAGGGAGAGAGTTACAGGCAGCCAGACAGGATGATGGGGAGGGCAGGGGAGACGGAGATCCGGGAGGGCAGAGAGATAAGGGAGGCAGGGCGGGCCAGTTATGCCAGTCAGAGCAGCGGTAGAGGTAGCGCCGGTCTCTTCCGACAGTCCCTGTCCATCACTCCCACACTGCTCAGCTCCCCCGAAACCACAGAGGAAAGCGAGCGGCACAGAGCTGAGATGGAGCTGCCTGAGAGGAGAGCGAAAAGGTGAAACCATACCTGGACAATAAGAACAAACACACTGGAGTGTATTCTGGACAGAGGGATTTATTTATGTTGCCAAAATAACTTCAATTTTGTTTTTGTTTCTTGTTTGTGATTTCTGTTACCTGACCACTTGTTTTGTGTATCTCAATAGAAGGAACACATCAGTAGATGAGAGTTATGAGTGGGACTCTGCTGATGCGTGTGTGGACTCGGAGGTCCTGGAGGCCATGAGGTTTGATCATTCACAAACAGGTTTTCGGAGAGGCGGGGGGGAGCCCAGATATGATCAAGCTGGTGGCCTCCAGGACCGGCGACAGAAAGGTAATATAATTTTCTTTCACATTCTCATTGTGTGTGTGTGTGTGTGTGATGTTTTTGATGGTGCATGTGTCATTGTGAGTGTAATGCTTGATCTGATGACGCCGCATGTGTTCCTCCTGTGCCCTTTGTGCTGTGATTATTGTGTGCTTGTCCCATGACGTGCCCATCCATGCATTTCCTCTCCCTGATGCCCTCCCCAGGCCCATCTCCCTCAGTCAGCCCACCAGTTTCCAACCCACCTCGCTGCCAGTACAGCCACTCGCTAAGCGAGGCGCGGTTCAACGCTCTCCGCCAGGAGTACCACGAGTACAGGCGGGCTCAGGAATCCATCTGTTCCCGTGAGCCCTGCCTCACCTCTGGCCACGATTCAGACTCTGACTCCAACTCAGCACTGCTCTAGCAGTTTAACTCGGTCCGTTATTCTTCCTGCCCTCGCACCTCTTTCCTGTTTTTTCCACCTCTCACTGCTCGCCTGCCAGCTTCCTTTTCTTGCCTGCAACTATCATCCATGTGCAGTGAATTTGTGCACGCTATGTGGTGCTCAATTTACAGTTAAAATGTCTGAACCTAGTCCTTTTAAGAACTCTTCTCTAACGCTGTACTGCTCTTTGCTTGTCTTTCACAGGTATATCTAAGACAGATCCCAAATAGCAGAACAGATGACAGCACTGTGGTCCTCGACAATGTCGCACCTCACTAGAGTTTCGTCATGTCAAGGAACTCCTTGTTTAAAGTTTTTATCCTCTGTAACAGCAGACTAAAATTAAGCAATTTAAAGAGTCCTAAATGCTGTATGCCATCAAATGTGACAGACCGCAACTCCTCAGTTGTTATCAGATGACATGTTCTTTTTCTTGTTCTTTTTCCGTTGTGCTTTGCATAATGAAGCTGAGAAGGGATTATTTATTTTTTTCAAGAAGCTCGTGCAACTGTATTTTGGGATTTTTTAAAGACCTTGACAATCAGGCACACAAGGCCCCTTTGAGAAATGAATTGTTCACTCTTGACTAAAACTGGTTTACAGTTGAAAGTTGAAAAAGACCTGCTTTATAAAAGTAGCAGCATGCTACATAATGAAGGTTGTATTTCAAGTTGATGTCTGTCACATCAAAGACTTCCCTTTGATAACTAAGGGATACTAATGAAAGTTATGTTGTTCTGTGTCCCAGATTACATTTATTTTTGGAAATGTCTGTATCTGTAATGTTGCCTTTGTTGCCAATCAAACAGTGCATGAAGCATTTTCACCACCATCTCCCTCTGAACATGACAAAAATACGTAAATAATAGTACTTAAAGATCACATGATTAATCAACTCTGATTTCTGTACCTTGGTACAACATCTCGGTGCAGTTCACAGTATCTAACTTTGTTACTCCAAACAAGAATGTCCTGTATTTAAAAGAAGAATTTGTTTGGTATTTGCCACTGTGATATTCTCGCTGGTTCCCTGAACTCATTTCCTGTTTTATACGTATGATCTGTCACAATAACATTCCCCTCTTGAGACTTTATACATCAAATCACTTCAAATAGCCTCCCAGTATTTGTTCAAAATGTACAAATGTTCATATGTACCTTAATGTGAATGAACCCTGCTGTTGTATTGTATGTTCCACATCATCATTTCATCAGATGAGAAAATGCTACTTTACTCCACCTGAATCGGTCAAATTTTGCCTCTGTGATTAGATGACAGATACAGTAAAACTTAATAAGAAACACAGGGAAAATTACTTTTGCCTTACTTTTTTTTTTTTTTTTACCATAGAAGGTTTGAGCTGACAAGCTTTAATCAAACAAAACTGATCAGAGGATTAAAAATTATTGAAAAGCTGTACTTTTTTTCTGCTCACATGAGTATTTCTGTATATTTATTAAGGTGAGTTATGATATGCAACAATGTTTACAATTCACATCATTGATGTGAAGGCAACACTGTGAATATTTCTTCGACTTCTCATTCTGTATTTGAATTGAAAGTCTTATGAATTTCCTGCCCATTAGTCTACTTTTTTTTTCTTTTTGTTTTGTTACTGAAAAATGACAAAGGATTTTTTTTTTATATATCACCTGACCAACAGATTTAAAGAATATCTTTGTAGCTATACTTTGGGAAGATCCAAGATTTGTACTATATTTACTTAAATAACCCAGATGAAAGTCTTCATATGGAGTGAGTATGCATTTCTGATGGTGGTTTTGGAAGTTTTGTACAAACTGGAAATTTTTATATCTTGCAACCTGGTTGTATTTGTCTTTTTTATATGTTTGTATTGAATAAATTGTTTTATTCTGAATGTGCCAGGATGAGAGAATGTGTTGATTTAATTGCTCTTTAATTTAATTAAATCAGCTATTTAAAAGTGAGGGCCACACCTCAACCACACCTGTAATCACCTGTCATGCCTACTTAAATCTAGTTAAGCCATCCTCTTCACACCTCTGGCATGGCTCTCTTTCTCCCTATCCTTAAATCTCTTCCTGTATTTTGACATACTGTAAGTAATCTCTCTGGAGATGGCTCAGTTGTCTTACCAGCAGGTGCAACAAACATTGCCAGTATTTGTCCACACTATTACTGTTTCTTTCAAGGATTTTGGGGAGAGATTTAACATGTTATACATGGAGTGTTAGTAATTGATGTTAAGAGAATAATAATGGGGTGTACAGTATGTCTACAGTACACACAGGGTGTAGATCCTCATGAGACCAGAGAAGCATTTATTGTTTTGTTCATCATATGTTTGTCGATTATGTGGTGCAGTGTGTCTGTTTTAGTGTTTTTCATGATCCCAAAGTTGTAATAGCTGCAAAACTGACAAAAAATTCAGAAGCAACCGTCATTAAACTGCTGGCCCTATAGTGCACGTGGTCAGTGTTCGTTCATATGCAGAGGTGGGCTGTTTATGTTGACTGTTGCACAGATGCATCACTGTGAGGACAATGAATTCCTCCATGCCTGTCATGAGTAAGATATTATGCCACCAGTTCAAAACATATGTCAAGGTAATAAGATTGTGACCCATAACCCACTCAGATGTGCAGATGTGCTCAGATGTTATCTGGACTCATACAGATAATGGTTCACCTACTATACATACCACGTTTGCCCATATTAACTAATACCATCAATTATACACGATAAGCCAGTTGCTCTTTAGCTAAAGCATTTATATTGTTTCAGATAAGAATTCATCACAATACAGAGGTGTATGTTGTACATCAACACCAACTTCTTCTATTTCTTTTCAAGGCTTAAAATGTCACATCACTTGGTTGACATACGCATGACATGTTTCACCATATTTCCAATACCATCAAATATATAGTGGTAGTGATACTCTGTTTCCCACATGAAGGAAGGGGTGCTGACCACTTTGTTCTTCTCATCCACATAGGCTTCGTAAACGAAAGGGTTAAGGCCAAAGCAGGAGTTATTTCAGAACAAAATCAACAACAAAAATGAACATAAATCTGTGTAGATTGACTGTGTGTATTTAACTAACATTAACAGGAAATAAGAGATCTCTGAAAGGATATATATGGCTCACGGCCATTGTGGCGAGCGCCCATGTTCTTCACAGCCTGGACCATGTTTGTGTAAGGCCAGTTCCCCCAGCGAGTGCTGTCATCCCGTTCATACCCCATGGTCACCTCAATGCCGGGCAGCACACGGCAGGCCAGCACAGGAGCCATGCTGGCCAGTCTGAAACAGGAGCAGACAGTCAGTTGAGGTTTAATGTTATTATATTAAGTCAAGACTGAGAGATAAGACTGTCGGTGTGTTCACATCAGACTTGACTGAAATCTCTCTCATTGTCCTGTTTGATAGTCAACAGAAGCAGCAGACAGGAAAACATGTGGAGAGAATGAGGGGACTGAGAGATGTGGGACAACTTTCACCTGCATCATCCTTGCAGAGCTCCTCCCAATGTGAACCTGAGGTCTGATCAGCCAAAGTGAAAACACCTGTGTGGGAGTGCTGTGCCTTTAAAGAAATACAGGCGCTATCTTATGTTTAAACTAAATATAGTGAAGCTATCACGCATACAACAGTACAGCCCAGTCACAACTTGCAGGTGAGCTGTCTGTTTGGTTGCACATCAACATTTTGATTTGTCATAGTAGGAAAAGCATATTTGTTACTACTAACATTAACAATGACTCTATTCTGTTCCAGTGACCCAGTGAGTCACAACAGTGTATACCAGGATGCTGAAACTGAAGCAGCTAAATGGAATTCAGCCATCATTAATGTGCTTATTTACACCTGTGCCTCTTCCTAATGTGAAGTGTCAAACATCAATTAGTCATCTGTGTATTCCATGTATTTTACAAATATGGGTAGTAAAGGTTGCTCTTTAAAAGATACTGACACAGTTGAAGCTAATGTATCAAGCAAAGCTAACTAAGCTAAGCTAAACTATTTCTATTATCTACGGTTTCTCATGAGAAATGCATACTGCTTTTTTTAATAAGATCAAGCAATTTCTGATGCACTGAGCATTTTTAGGAAATGGAAATCTTAAAAAAAAACAAACTGACTGTTCTGCTGACAGTGTATGCAAAGGTCTGCAGAAGATGAGCCGTTTTAATTGTCTGCCTGAAGCATTTCACAGGCACTGAGCATCTCTTCCCACTGGACTCAATCTATCAACAAAAACGCACCTTTCCAATGCCATACAGTGAAATCTGCCTCTGACCCTGTGAGCCAACATGCCTCTGTGTTACAAAGCAAATTAAAACTCACCAAAAATATTCAAAACAAAGGTTATGTGGAGCTAGAAGACAGCATTTAAAAGTCAAATGTTTGCTGAATACAGCTTGATAGCAGCAGCTGGAGGGGTTGCACTGTGGAGGAGCTGCAGAGAAGAGTCTGAGTTTGCCACCAGGGTCTAAATTATTGCTTTGAGAAAGATGGTCTGATTCTAAATTTATACACTGCTTGTTTTGTCAACAAATCAGATATTTTCAAGACGCCAATTACAGCTTCGACAAAACGGAACAATGGAGGGGTGTGTGCCTTGTCTGCAACAGCAACATGTGAATCACAGTGATACTGACTCTAACCGTACACAGCAATGCCCACTTTGCACATCTCTTTATGGCCCTTATCACTTGTAGAGAATAAGTAAAAATAAGTGCCAGTGTTCTCAATTATTTCCTTTATTTTCATTTTTGATTAAATTATCTTTTATGGCTCAAACTCTTTATATGCCTTAATGGCAATGGGAAAGGATTATACTGGTATTATCTTTTAAATGAAGGCTGGCTTTAGGTCAAATACCTTTTAACCCTGTGTTGTCATTGTGACAGCTGCTTCATCCTCCTCTGCTTCCAACTCCACTCTTTTGCCCTTTAATCCTGCATCTCCTGTCACCTTAGACCTGCCATTCTGCACCCGGCCAGCAGGTGTCCTCTCACCGGACCCTTTCACCTGTCTGCGCTCTCATCACCCCATCAGTCCATATGTGCCAACAAAGTAACCAAAGGATCAGTCACTCCCTACCAGCAGGAACACATACTGTATTATGCCTGAGCCCTCACTCTGTCCTGCTTGCTTTAACGCTTTAGGATTTGCCCATTGTAAGCGTTCCTCTTTGGCGAGTAAAGACTAAGGTTTTACCACACCTGCGCCTCCTACTGTGTCTGCTGTGATCAGTGAGAGCCCAAGTGGAGACTTTCTCCAGAAAGCCTCTTGAATGGTGCATCAACTTGCACAAGAAAGTACATCAGCACATCTTTACAAACTTTCTAACATAGGCTGTAAAGTGTTTTTTTCTTAACTTTATTTCTTTCCTAGTTTTACTTCAGTAATATAATGCTACACAGATTTTTATTACATGTTCAGATTTCTTTTTTTGTGTATATGTTTGTGAAGATTTTATTTTGTATATGATAACAATAATAATAATAGAAACAACTTAGTAATATCTAAACTTTATAACATGGTCTGCAATAGTTTTTTGCAAAACTTGTCAATCAAGATGTTCTACCTTTATTTCTATTCATTCATTTATCTAAATCTATAAAGAGCTCAGCACTCATTGTCTAACTTCCTTTCCACAGCTGCTCCAATGTCCTAATTCCATTACAGGGATCGTTTAAATCTGGTGTTTTTATCTAGTCTAATGTAATCTAATGTAATCTGATTTAAAGTGTGGGGCAAATCAGTAGCAGTCTGCAATTTTGCCTCACGTTTGGATTCAAAATGTAATTTTTAAGTGATTGTATAGTGAACAAACAAAAGAAAAACAAATCCACAATGTCACACACGGCTGCCCAAATCCTTAGCTATTTATTGTAAATAAGTTATAAGAGCCACACAAGTTTGTTCCTTCAGGGCCGATAGAATGAACAGTGACCAAATTATACATACCCAATAGGCTTGCGTGAACGGTGGAAATCTTTAAGCACCCTTTCCACATCACTGTGCAGCTTGCAGTCTTTGCCATCCTTCACAAAAGAGGAGCTAAAGAATTGAGACATTATATATTAATATTGGAGCTCCATCTTTATCATGCATGATTGTATTGTGCCTCATTTTACTCAAATAAACAGTACACAGTCTCAAAGTTACATATTTCATTGTTCCTCACAGATTCTTGGTGACACCGTGGCCTCCAGGAAAGATGACAGCATCAAAGCTGTTGACATCCAGCTTGGACAGGTCTTGCATTTGCGCCATTCCTTGACCATGACTGAAGCGAGCCGACTCCATCATCATGTTTCTATGTAACGGCCAGAAATAATCATAAATACTACCTAATGGAATTAGTCAAGTCAGGTGTGTAAACACACAAAGTCACTGGTCCCTCTCTGACCCCGTGTACGAGTGTTTCCAAACAAGCCTACCGGTTCTCGCTACTGGCAGGCTGCTTTTTCATGTGGTCCATCACATGCATCTGCTGCTGATTTGGAGCAAACATCTGGAAGCGAGCACCGTTACGGCTCAGGTGGTACATGGTGCTGAAGACAAAGTTGTGAATTACTATCTCTGCATGGTGATATGTTGCATGCAATGGTGTGAAATTCCTGTCCTGAGCTCAGCATGAGTGATACTCACTATACTCCCTCATGGACATCAGTCCCATCCCACCAGCCACATCCTGAGAAAACCTGGAATATATTGTGATTCACAAACCAAATGTGATTCGCAAATCACAATAATGCCCACACTAATATTTGTCTACTTTTTTCCCCACTGCTGCCTTTTTGATATGTTTCACTTACCACTGCAATATTGGTGTTTCCCCAGTTGCCATAGTCACCGTGGTGAACAAAGCAGGCAGGCTGGCGAGAAAGCACAGCCAGTGTTTGTTTTGACAGCAAAGTCCTGGTTGCCAGCATGGTTTAGCTTCAATCTCACTGTTTTAGGAGGAAAATATGGCTTAACAGTTTGCCACTGAGTCAGTTAAGACCTTCGATAGTCGTAATATCGATCTTGCTGTTACTCTGTATATATACCATCAGAGTGTGTTGTTGTGACGTTACCACGTAAGCTCTATTTTCTGAGAAGAGCCATTGCTTCTTTGCCTTGACTGACCTATTCCCCTCCTGAACACCCTTCCCTATTAATACCTTGTTTATTCATCTGATTACCTTAAGTCATTTGGCCAGTGACACTTCAGCTTTGGAGAGTAATCTTAACGTGTAGTGCTTTAACCCACGAAAAATCTTAGCCCATTTAGATTTTAACTCTTAGCATGGCATCTAGATGGAAAAACTTGCAGAAAAAACTCAAAATTATTATTTTTACCCAACGCTCATGCATCTGGGTGCAGTCTTTGATAATGCTTCTAAAGAAGTAATTACTGCATTTTAGCAGTGGATGTGATGGCTTTATACAGTGCAAGACATACTCTATGCCCTTTAAAGTCTATTAGGTTGTAAGGCTCTTACTCACTGTAATGCCATGTTGCGTATACGTCTAGACAGTAAACCCAGAAATACCCCCGGTCAGACTGAAATGTCAAAGTGAATATACTGAGTACTACACCGCCTACCTATAGGCTGCATTTGGTAGAAGACAGTTGTAATTACAGTAGTGAAGAACCCAAGACTCAGTGTCAAGTTACAGATGACAAACATGAGGCAAAATATGGCATTTATTTTATTATGACCACTTTTTATGTATAAACAATCATTATTTACATACTGGTGATGAAAGTATAGCAACAATTTAAGGAACAAAAAGCAGAAACGGAGTAAACAGAACAATACACCAACTAGGGTCACCACATCAATCACAATTTTAAGCCTCAGCTGGCACCTTATGTGGGATGTTCTCATAAGATTCTCCGTGAAGGTTTAAAATTAGCACACAAAAGAACTCATGCATAGAAAACATATAGTCAAACTGCCACGTTTGGTAATCACAAAGTACAAATATGTTTTTTTGTTTTTTTAAAAAATCATATATGAGAAACATGACATGACCAACTTATGCGGCGAGGTTCCCTGTTACTAAATGTCACTTACTGTAAAACATACAGACATGTTCCTCAATTTCTCTGTGGACGCAACACATGCCATAATCATTTTGAAAAAAAAAAACAACCCCACAAATACTGGTCTCACATTTTTTTCTTGTGTGATTTCCAAGTACAGATGTGATTAAATAAGACTAAACCAGTGACAGATGTCTACAAAGCAAAAGAAAGAAAGTAAGACACAGCACAGACAGCTAAATAATAAATAATAAAAGGTCCATTTGATATTTTATATGAAAGAAATGTCTACAATGTTTTTGATGTATCGGTGAAATAAAATCATACCCACAGCAAGCTTACCAAAAATTACATCAAAATGATGCTTAACAAAGCCCGATCCACGTCCAATCAAGAGCAAGACAGCCACTGACAATCTGCCGACAGCCCAGCTTCAATAGTCTGGCTTTGGCTGTTTCATCAATTATTGATGAGCCCTGTTGAGTACTCCTTGCAGTTTAGTTTGCTTCACATGTAAGAACCAAATCCTAAAAAGCCATTTACATGCAAATCACTAACAACTTCAGTGGTGAAAGTAAGAATCATCACCTAAATTTCCACCACCACTAAAGAAAGCTTTCATGCACCCACGCACTGTCAGCAAAGGAGTTTGTGCACTAACTATGCACACTGTGTTCATTATGGAGAGTATTTCAGAAGATATCCATTTGATAAAGAGTGGGGTTTGCTCATCAAGCCAATAGCCGTGCTGAGAGAGAAGCGTGTGTTAACAAAGCCAGTATGGCTGCATTAGGGCGTGTAGGCAGGCGGTGGCTGAAACTGATTGGCAAGGTCATAATCAGCAGGAAAAGTTTCACTGCTGTCCTCCATCTCTGAGAGCAGCTCTAAAGCCTGCTCCTCCTCCTCGGTGGGGTAGTGGCGCAGTAGGTTCGCAGCTGTGGCGAGGATGGAGGCACCGCCAGCCCCTGCCACCAGGTAGAAGCTGATGGCGAAAGTGACGTATATGAGAGAGCCATGGTACTTTTTGTGTTGCTGCTGTAGGGACAAGATGAGCTCCGAGGCCCAGTAGCAGAAGCCTATGACGGTGGCACACTGCAACACTGATGAGAGAAAGAGCAAACAATTAAGTAACCAAAACTGTCTGAAAATAAATAAATACATAGACCTTCAGTAGGACAGAATTATACCTGTGAGAATATGTGCAAATGCATATCTGCGTGTGATCTTTAGCGCAGGGTGCTTAGGTCCAAACACATCCAAGAGGAAAGCGGTCAGACTGCACAGGATGCCCAGGAAACAGAAGGCAGCGATCACCCTCAGCAGCAGGATGGTCTGCGGGTTCACACAGTAATCTGGAAGACACAGAGACATCACAAAGCATTACAAGTGAGATGCCAGATTAATCTCTGCTGCGGGGTTTTATGCGCTTGTGCTGGTCCTCACCGTCCAGAAGCTTAGGGTCAATGTACCCCAGGACATCTGCCACCCCCAGCTCTTGTCTCGGACAGGTGCCTCCATGAACCCGGAGCCAGGCCGGTTCCGCCAGAGCCGTGCACAGCGCTGTGATGGACAGAGCTCCTGGCAGAGCCGACACCAGGCTCCGCTCCGGCTGCTTGGGCAGGGACGTGCCCCCTCTCCTCCTCCGACCTCCAGGGATAGCAGAACCCGGCGGGGCATACATGGTCATCCAATCTCCTGATCGTCTGTTGCAGTGTTGGTATGTGTGACTGCACTAAGGTCAGCCAACTGACTGGCCAAAGTAAGAAACGTTAACTTAGCCGGTACAGCTAACGTTACCTGTGTGAGAAACGGATGACAACGGCCCTGGCGCGTTGTTGCCTGTGGTAACTAATGTTTCCAAACGACGTTTGGCCTTAAAACTAACTGTTTGATAAGGATAAGTATCTGGCTCAGAGGCAGACAATGGACAGATGGCTTTCCGGCCTGTTAGCTCTGTTATTAGCGTGTGAAGCTAGCTCACAGCTAACGCCAAATGTCGCCAACTGTCATAAAAAATAAACTAAACAGAACAATTTAGATAAACTATAACCTATTGCCTAATCTAGCTACCTACCCTGATAAAAAATGACCATCAATGTGGTACAGAAAAACAAAGACAAAACAAAACAAAAAGCAGCTTACGAAGGCTTCCTGTAAAATTCGACTTCCTTGTTCACAGTGTTCTTCTTCGTGGCTTCAATAGGCTGCAGTCTAAACGCGAGTGGCGACCGCTGTTCCCACCAACTGGTGACACCTGAAAAGACACAGCAGTTCAATCTATGAGTACAATCAGGGGCGTAGGAGCGACTTTGAACTTGGGGGGGACGCTGAAATGCTAAGGGGGTTTGGGGGCATGCCTCCCCGTGTTTTTAAAAAAAATAACTAATAGCACTTAAATGCTCATTTCTGACTTTTGAAAACAGAATGTACTTATAAGTGCAGCTGAAAGAGGGTCTTTGTAGTGACAGAAGATGGAGAAAAACTTGGAGAGGGAGAGGGTCAGAGAGAGGGAGTATAATATAACTAGAACAAAACAGATTACATTACAGCTGCTAGTTAATTTAGCCACAGTACAAATGTATTTAGTAATCCTAACGTTACACTTGTGAGCTGTCTGTGATATTTCCTGTGTCTCACTTGGCCCTGACTCTCCCTGCAACAAATGTTTGTGAACACATAATTGTCTTCAATGCAAACTCTGATGACATGCTATTGGTCTAACAAAGTATTTTTACTACGTGAGGAGTCAGGAGTCTGTCCCTGGTCTGCCCACTCTCGAGACAAAACATTTGTTGGGGCTCTGGGTCTTTAGAGACCTTTATTCCTGTATTCTTGACAATTTTTTGCCACCACAACTATAAACAAAAAAATAAAGGGGTATCATGTAAAAAACAACAAAGGCACTAAAGAAAAATATCTAAATCTTTACATATTTACAACTGTTTTGATTGCTTTACTATTCTTTAAACCAAATAAAGTTTCAATGTATCTTAAAATGTGGTCATGTGGTTTCTTCTTTAGACCATTTGCATATGTGATTGTAAAATTTTCCATATAAAATAAAAAGGTTCAAAATTCTTTTACAATCAATATCAATCTCGTCATAAAAAAATATAATGTTTCTATTCTGCAAAGTAATAGTTGAACCAGTCAGTGTCTTAAAGAAATATTCAAAATCCAAAATAACAGGATAAATTAAATCTATCATTTTAAATGAAACTTTTTTTTAAAAATACATTTTTTGGGAATCAATTTACAAACAGTCCAACATTCCAGCTTATAAACACAATATTGATGCTTAAAATAATATAATAGTAGAACATATATTTAAAAATAATCAAATTAAATTACAGAGTAATTAACAAACAAGAAAGGAAAAAACAAACAAACAAAAAATCCCAAGACAAACTAAGAGAGATGAGTAAGTGAGTAGGTGACAGACTTATCTTCTTCTTACATCTTAACAGGTGGTGACATAAGATATTTTTTAGGTGAACAGTTCTGAGTAGATATTACTTATTGAAATGCTTTTCTTATTTAAAAGACTCCAAGTACATATCAGTTTCGATTAAGAACTATTTTGATTAAGAAGTACATTAAAACATGGGGTAGACATAGAGTATTCAGCTTTGTGAATATGAAACTTCCCCAACAAAATAATGAAACTTCCCCAACAAAATAAAGAGATTCACAATGGTATTTAAGTCCTTATCTTAATTTTAAATTAAAGTTCTCTAGTTGTGTTGGTGTCTGTGACGTTTTCACATAACCTGAAAAAAGGAAAGAAAGAAAAAATAAAAGAAACCCCACAATGCATCGCGTGTACCACCTGATAAGTAAAGATGGCGGCGCTTCCGATACGGCTGTGTTTGTGAACTTTCGTGCTTGTGTTCTTTGGTGCAAATTCATTCCTTTTTTCTCAATTCCCCTTCAAGCAGACACATTACTGTTGTTTAGGACAATATCACTGCTTGTTTTAGTGCGCCGTGGTGTTTGTTAACGGATTTATCTGCCGTCCGTTAACCGTTACCGGACAGGAGTTCACACAGTCAGCGGCTCCAGACTTATAATATTTCACAGATATGAAGGAGGCCTTGACCCTCGTTCAGAGACTGAGCGCACATCCGGACTCCCGGTGCTGGTTCGTCAGCTGGAGCCCGACTGGGACCCTGCTGGCCTCATGCGGGGGCGACAAGGCCGTCCGGATATGGGGACGAGAAGGTGAGCTGTCAACAAAATGAACTGAACGGCAGTTTACTTTAATACAAGACAGAAGAATGGTCCAGATAACATTATGATATAATAATAGATCAGTCCTTAGAAAAACGAGGTATATTGACAGGATGTGTTGTCTTATTGGACGCTGATAAGCATTACAACTTCTAGGATGTAAAGTTAATTTATTTTTTCCCTTCTCTTTATTAGAAAAGTGATATCAAAGCAACATATAACAAGAATCATAACATTGCAAAGGATAAATACAACACATAAGGGATACAGATATAGTTAGGGGGTACAATTGCACAGCACAATACAGCACAATACAGCCAAAAATAAAAATAGGGATATCACAGAAAGACCTTCAAGCAGGTAAAAATAAAATAAAAATTCTTTCTCAAAAAAAATAAAGATAAAAATAAAGTTTTATTGGTTTGTAAATTTGCATTTGTGTTTATGAATTTAGCCAGAAACAACATTAAATTGATTCTTAAATAATAGTCGCAGTGTTGCTTTTCATTACTGAAAACCCCAAAAAGGATAAATCGCAGAACAAGCAGAAACCTGAATATATACATCCTGCCAACATTGTTTTACGTAAGTGTGGTGCCAAAACAAATGTAATGCCGTTTCTGTTTAAGTGTCACAGAAGGTACGGTTTGGATCAATGTCATTTTTATCTATGAATAATTCTAAAGGATACTTCCTTAACCTTGTTAGTAAGTATTAGGTAGTAATGTTAATGTCATTCTTCAGTTATAGAGTTACACGACTTCTTATTAGTTTACCATCACTCTCTTGTGTCTGATCAAAGATGTCCAGTGAAGATGATGTTTAATGCCCCTGTCATCCTTTTGACTAAATCACATTAGTGAAAACACTTTCAATCAGAGTAAATAATCCTCACTTCCATTTCCCCATGTGTGATATCTAGTATGTGAGTTAATTAAAATGTGATTATGAGTAACGCATGCTAAGTTGAAAAGGATCTAGTTCTTCTGTAAGTTAAAATAGTAAATTACTTGTCATTGGTACAGGTTAGGTGTGTAATTTTGTGTGTGTATATATATTCCTGAACTTCTTTTGTTTTAGGTGACTCTTGGATTTGTAAGAGTGTACTCCAGGACGGACATCAGCGCACTGTGAGGAAAGTGGCGTGGTCTCCCTGTGGGAATTATCTTGCCTCTGCCAGCTTTGATGCAACCACATGCATCTGGAAAAAGAAAAACGATGATTTTGAGGTTAGCAGAAATGTTTAATCTTCACTTTGTGTATGCTGTACTTGTTGTTGTTGTTGTTGTTGTAGATTTTACCAAGAGTTCCACCTTGTCTTCTAGAGTATGACTGTGTTGGAAGGACACGAAAATGAGGTAAAATGCGTGGCGTGGGCACCTTCAGGGAATCTGCTGGCAACATGTAGCCGAGACAAGAGTGTCTGGGTCTGGGAAGGTTTGTGTTAACCTACAGTGCGTCAGCTCCCCAGATGCATGGTGTGAATCCAATTCATCTCTGCCTCTCTATGTATCCGTGGAAACGACCTCTTTCCTTTTGTGTTTCACAGTGGATGAAGAAGACGAGTATGAGTGTGTTACCGTCGTAAACTCTCACACACAAGATGTCAAGCATGTTGTGTGGCACCCGACCCAGGAGGTGGGTCACACTCTGCTCTATGCACCTAAATTATTTCTCAATTTGTCGCACCATTGCATACTTAATTACTACATGTTTACACAGCTCCTGGCTTCAGCCAGCTACGACAACAACATTTGCATTTACAAGGAAGAGGATGATGACTGGGAGTGCCGGGCCACCTTGCAAGGACACACATCCACGGTCTGGGGTTTGTCTTTTGATGCAGCTGGACAGAGGCTGGCCTCATGCAGCGACGACCGCACCGTGAAGATTTGGAAAGAGTATCCAAATGAATGTGGACAGGGTGAGTTGTTGGTCGACAGCATTAGTTTTGCCATTAATCAAGGCATTAACTAAATGTTTTATCCAATCCATGACTTAACTAGTTGTTATTTTTATGTGAATTTTAATATTTATGAAAATGTGACCTACGAAAGCATTGGGAAATGTCTACATAGTGCAACAGAGCTGTTACTTTTGATGACTAAAATCATTTGTTGCTAATTAAAAAGTTCATACAAACCTGAATTTAATGCATGTTTTTGTCAGTGTAAAGTAGATAAAAATGACAATAGTGTGGACAAGAAGGACAGATGCTGTTGGACTATTGAGTCTCAAACTTTTTTCCTCCCCTGATTATTTAACAGACTTGTCGTGGAAGTGTGTTTGCACTCTGTCTGGGTACCATGGGCGAACAGTGTATGATGTCGCCTGGTAAGACCCATTATTTTCATATTTTGTACATACAAATACAGTGCCCTCTCAGCCCTGTTTGTATCCTCGGTCTGCTCTTAAGATCATCTCATCACTGTGCTATATTTAAAAAGGAAAAAAAACATTTTATAGCAGATATATATATTTTTTTCAATGTTATACATAGAATCTGGTGAAACTCAAGGCAAATCTGGCATTTGAGGGTAAACATACACAGCCACCCCTTGGTATTGGTAAATTGACCAGTAGGTAAAAGCATTTCAGTCATCTTGCCTGTGACCCCTCATAAGCTGCACACTGTGTGCAAGAATTAACTGAAACATCCACTCAGGTTAATTGGCCACCTGATCTCACAGGTCTGTGTGCACCTGAATTAGTCATCTTGTTAGAACAAACTGAGGCCATTAATGTTTATCTCTTTGTTCAGGTGTCGGCAGACGGGTGCCATGGCAACCGCCTGCGGCGACGATGCAGTGAGAGTGTTTAAAGAGGATGAGACGGCCGATCCAGACCAGCCAGTGTTTTCACTGGCCGCCCAGGTGGCCAAGGCTCACAGCCAGGACGTCAACTGTGTCGCCTGGAACCCAAAAGAGGTGGGGCTCCTGGCCTCCTGCAGCGATGATGGAGATATCGCCATCTGGAGGTTCCAAGAGGAAGACTGAATACTAATAACCGTCCTCTACTGAACAAAAACAGTTATTGCAAGCTACACTGGAAACTGTGTGGTCGTGAGGTCACCGCACATAATGTCGTTCAGCCTTTACAGCTTATCTGATAGCTCAGCAGGATTCAGCTTGATGTTACGCTCTATAATGTGTCACCTGTCATTTTTCGTGTCAGTTTCTAAACCATTAATGCTTCAGCGCCTCTTGTGCTTTGAGTCTTCATATATTTCATTATAACAGCTCAAATAACTATTCACATTTTATGATTTTTATATAAATGAATAAATATATCTAAAAACAATTATGTGGCTTCTCTTTATTGCAAAACATATTCCGGACAGCACATCATACTAAAAACATTTAGACCAGTCCAAGAATTAGATTTCAGAACAAATACTTTCAAGTCCAAAAATAGAACCAGACAGTTTTCTTTTGTATTAAAAAAAACAACAATCTGGAATAAGAGTATCCCGTAGCTAACTTTATAGGGCAGACCATCCAAAAACCTTTTAATGGTTATCAAATTTTAGTCAGACTTAAACTGACAAAGTTGTATACTTAATACCCTCAGAACCCAGATGGGGCTTCAGTGCTAATTGTTAATTACAACAATGAGCAGAGTTTGTCATGTACTGATTATACTGTAAACAGATCCTATACACTATAATTCTGAACTGGCTTACATCATTAAGTGATTTAAACTGAGAAATTACTGTATACTGAATAAAATTAATGAATTATTTTCACAAGGGATGACAATGACGTGCTTACAGATAAGTCAAGGGACATCAATCAGGTTGAGTATCTACAGTAAAAAAACAAACCAAAAAAAAAACACCCACTGATCCCTCTCCATATAAAACAAAATGCTGGAGACCGCAATAATCATGTTACTGATTAGTCTGAGTCACTGTCTCCGTCGCTGTCTGCTTCCTTCACATCCACACTGAACTTGTACTCCTGGTCACATCCCATGTATGCGTCACTCATGAAGTACAGGGTGTAGTTATGAACGCCCATTGCTGGCGCAACAAAGTCCAGCTTGACCTGCACAGGGTGGACATAAAGGATGCACAAAATGAGGCCTCTGTTGGTTTAAAGAGCATGTTTTTGTCATTGAATATATGCGGTGTATTACTCTCTAACCTTTGCTTTCTGCTGAAGAGTCAGTCTCTTGATGGAGATAAGGCTGTTAGACTTGGGGTCACCAATCACCACCCACCAGCCCTCCTCACGTTTCTGTAACAATGAAAAATAATTACAAGAATCATTACATGTTAATGAAAGAATAATTATTATGAAGTCTCTGGGTCTTCATAATAATGGTGTGTACCTGGGGGAAGAGTGGTGCGATGACGGGCCCAGTCACCTCCTCCTCTCTCTCCAGCTGAACCTGAACCAGAACTGGACTGCCGCTGTGAAGAATCATGGAAACATAACATCATCATTTGCCAAAAACAACAAAGTGTCATGAAAATAACATATTATCCTTGTCAAGCATCTGTTTAACTTCATTGTTTCTCTCACTGCTGCTGACTGAAGTCCCACATACCTCTTGATGTTGTCTTTTTCTGCCACTTCGTACGACAACTCAATGTTGGGGTAGCGGTTACAGAAACGAGCCACATCGGCCATCTGGACGTCTGAGAGCTGCAGCAGAGCAGTTCTGTCTTCATCCTCCATCTCCATAATGTCAAAGATACTCTCCACACCCTGATGAAAAGAGCAGGGAAAAGATGATCCATGTACTGAAGCAAGAGTTAGATTTTAGGAAGCGCATTTAGTGTAACGAGAAATGTACCTTATCTGTGCAGCGCTTGATGTGCTCTGAGGTGAAGTAGGGCAGCTGTTTGAGGTACGAGTCCTTGGACCACATGGCCTGCGTGACCATCTGGGCGAGCTCCATAGCTGCCAGAGCAGGACTCAGCCAGCCGTTACTGGACAGCACATCAACGCAGGCCTGGATCAGACGAACCGCCTACAAACACAACCCATGGGGTAAATATACACACAGGAACCGACAGTTCATTCCCCTTCAGTGCCAAAATTACCAGTAATGTGTACCTTGCTCAGGATCTCCTCTGTGTCCGACTGCAGCTCAGCACTCAGCTGCATCCTGGAGAGATGGGCTTGCAGCATCAGGTTCGTCTTCACATGGGGATCGTTGAACTTCGGGTTGTTCAGTTTGTGGGGCACTTTCTGTGCCAACTGAAATACAAAAGTAAGCGACAACACAATCAGTTTCAACATAATGACTTGGTACAGAAGTGTTAATGTTACAGTAACGTGCAAAAATGGTCAACGCTGTTTGTTTACCTGACGGAGAAGTGTATCCTCATGATGTCGAATGGGAATGTTCTTGTATTCGGCAGCATTGGAGATGATCTCAATTAACCCACGGATCTTTGTCTTGGCATTTAGGGACATGCTGAACAACTCTGCCAAACACAAACAGACAGCAAGTCAGTTATGTGCAAATTCAACACATTTTTGTCATAAAGGATTTACAACAGGCTTTATAATCAGGCAATGCAAATGGATTTTCAGAGAGTGTGATCGGACAGTTGTATTGGCACGAACCGATGGTGGTGTAGTTGATGTAGTAGTAGGCAGCGATCATGCCCAAATTGAGCGGTGCAACATCCATCTCATCCTCTATGCTGATGCACTTGGACTGCTCCAGGTCATGTAACGTGTGTTCCACCAGCTCAGACAGGTGGTCTGACAGGTGACGATGGGACATGCCTTAAGAGGTAAACACAGAATGCGACATTTGTAAGTTGCTCTCAACATCTGATCCAGTGTAAGTGAACACATATTTATTCTAAAACAAACAGGGTGAAACTGACCTTGCAGGTTGTAGTAGTTAGGGTTCTGGGTCATACGGCGGTAGAGGAATGTCCACGTCAGGTAGTCCACGGCGTCCTGCTTGTTCTCCACAGTCTTGGTGACGATCTCAGCGTTGAAGTGGTCGTGGAGGCAGTGGTCCAAGTGAGACTCCACCGGCAGCGGCTCGTACAGGAACTTCTTGAAGAAGTCCTATCAAGAAAAGAAAAAGAAACAGTTTGGTTGATTCTTACTGCCGCACTGTCGTCGCTTTAGCCCACGTAACTATTTCCAAAGTTTAACAAGACAAAAACAACCGAGGTCTTTCTACCTTCTTGGAGCCCTGACACATGATGACACAGCGTCCCTCATCATCTAGCATGGGTCTGTTCGCCTTGCCCACCATCTGCAGGACGTCATAGATGGGATAGTCCACATATCTGAGAGAAAAGAGGGAAAAACAGTCAAACACAATACATATTATTTACAGAACCCACATCAAGAGATTAGTGAGGGCCTTACGCATGGATTTTGCCATTGTAGTACTGGGTGTCCATGACAATGACGAGGTGCGCGGAGATGTTGATGCCCCAGCAGAGTGAACGAGAGGACACCACCACCTGAACAGCACCTGTAAAAGTAGAACAAGCAAGGATGCCAAAAATAATTATTCAGCCCTACACCTACATAGAAAGCTGAAGGTGCAGAGCCGGAGTGAGTCATACCCGAGTTGAAGAGCTGCTCCACTATTTTGCGTTCAGTTGCAGACAGGCCCTCGTGCAGGTAGCCCACGCCATTGGCCAGAGTCTCTTTCAGAGTTGAATCATTTATTTTGTTCAGGAATGGAGCTAGATCTTTCTCGGTGCAGTGCAAGAACCTACAGAGAAACAAAAACTTATTCTTCATCCACAGTGTCAAGACATAACGGGAACGTTGGCACTATCGCAGTCTACTCCTCATCTACAGGCATGATCTCACTGTAGCGACTGACCTCTGAGGGACCACATCGGCAGCGCAGAAAGTGAGGATGTCGATGGCTGTGAGGCGAGTCTGTCTGCGGGACGGGACGAACACGACGGCTGGCTTGGAGGGGGAGTGCTTCATGATGGCGTGATATACTGGCTTAGCCATGGACAGCAGGCGAGTCTGAGTGTGACTCACGTTGAAGCCCTATCCAGACAAGAACAGCAAATCAGGAACCTGACAGGAAATTATGTCCTCTTGGCTGTCTGTACGTTTTGTGTACCTGACATTTTTAGAAAGGATGAATACCTATTTTTGTTGACTGTTTTCATACCTGGATGTGTAGCTCCAGAGGAACAGGTCTGACGTTGGGGTGGAAGTTGAATGTGGCAGTGGTGCTGCAGCCCAGCCAGTGGGCCACGTCTTTGGCGTTGGACAAAGATGAGCTAAGGGCCACGATGCGGATGGGACGCTCAATCTGAGAGGAGATGTACCTCATCCTGGAGCAGATGACCTCCAACACCGGCTAATGAGGAGAAACGAGGGGCATCAACATGATGCACAGCCTACAAATGACTATGACACACCCAATGTGTATGACATGAAATTGCTGAAAAGCAATAACTGTTACTTACTCCGTTTTCTCCTCCAATGAGGTGTGTCTCATCCACAACGAAGAGGCTAACATTCTGGACGTTCTTCCTCTGTTTCCAGCGGCGAGACAGGATGTCCCATTTGTCGGGGGTACTGACAATGATGTCACCTTTTCCCAAGAGCTTCAGATCTGTGCTAGTTTCTCCCGTCAGCAGCACCACCTTTTTGTTCAGGATGTCCTGGAACTTCTGGTGCCAGTCGACAAACACCTGAAAGACAAAGATTTACGTAATTATTAATTGTGTTAGATGGGAAAAGAAAGCAATGCTAGTTTATAAGCACACTTCCACCATAAGAATGACTTCATACCTGTTCAGCCAGTGCTTCCATTGGGGTGATGTAGACACAGCGACCTTCTGCGTTGTGCAGCAGCATCCTCAGAATGGCAAACTCAGCACAGATTGTCTTTCCACTGCCGGTGGGAGCGCCCACAAACACATTGTCATCACTGTTGTACACCGCATTGAACACTGCAGGGACAGAAAGAATACAGACAAGTCAAGAAAACAATGTGAAATGAACAGTGAGCCTCTTTTATCACATGAACCAAAAGTGGAAACGTTATGCGTTATGCTATCTTTTTATCTTTTGATTTAATGGAAATGTACTATGGAGATTTTCTCATTCTGTACCTTGTGTCTGAATGGGGTTGAAGAAGGGGAACTTGTTCTGGTACAGAGCCTCAAAGGCAGAGTTCCTGAGAGCAGTGACAGGCAGCGGCTGCAGGTCCAGCAGCTCAGTAGGTGGGGGGTACTTCTCTGGTAGGATCAGATGGCGGAAGGATACTGGAAGCTGAGTCTCGCAGGCTGAAAAGAAACAGAAAAAGTAAAGCAGTTAGTTGCAATTCTTACATAAACA